ACGGGCGATAGCTTGTACCTGGAAAAGTGACGCACGTGGGTTACTCTCCCGCTCACACATGCACACCTTATACATTGCCAAACAAGGGCGGGGCTTACTGGTAAGTACGGACTTTGCCACTCCGCCGGAATAAAGCAACCTCAACTTTCTCGGAGCCATCCGTGGGAAACCTGAAAAGAAACGACGCAGCGACTGCGCGCTTCTTCAGAGGCCGGTGCTGCTGCTCGGCGGCAGTCATTGTTGAAACGCACAGCGAGGGCGTGAGCAAATAAAGTTATCTTACTAGCTACTTAAGAATGGAATGAGTTGCCAGAGAGTGCGCAGCAAAAGCAACTTATGAGAAGCTGCCCACCATGATCTATCTGAATGAGTCGAAGATGTTGGGGTTTAAGTCAGCGCCCGCTGTGTGCTAGCAAGTGGACGAATTACAGGTGCAGAATGCTGATGCGACGTGACCCCCGCCGGTTAGTCAAGGTTGGTCTGTGTAGCGTTGAGTGGAAAGCAGCTGCCTTGCGGAACCGGGTTTTATCCGTTTACCACATCTTACAATCAACCAACAACAGCAGCTCCTGTCTCTGAAAAGCTCTTGCAAACAGGTCGACTCGTGGTCTCCAAGATAGATTCTTCTATGTGTTATGCAAATCCGAGCGTGGCGTGGCTACTGTGAATTAATAACTTAGATGCAGTTGGTGAAAATCTATCTCAGGGCAATATCTATCTCCAAGCAACTGGACCGACTGAATTCCACTACAAAAGCGTCGCGCTCACTAGATTGACTGGATGAGTATCAACTTTATGTTTACGACAAGTATTTATTTCACGGATGCATAAGATCCATAGAAAGAGCACTCAATATATACATCTTTATCATTCTACCAAGTGGCTTATACATAAAGAGATACAGGAAGTGAAGCTAAAAGAGAATTGTGCAAGATAACTGCCCACTTCTCTACGTGTACGTATATAAACCTGTGAAAGTGTGGTCATTGATCTGAACGGAGTCTTTGACATTAGCACAGGACCACCGCCGCTAAACTGCTTCCAATAAAAAAAAGGAAAAAGAAAGGAGGGGTTTGGCCCTCTCCTTTAGCAGACACCGGCCGGGACGGTGGTGTCGGCCTTGCGGTTCTTGCCGGTGCCGTAAGAAGCATTCTTGCCGAGACCGCGCTTAGCGAAGCCCTTCCAGATCTCGCAGGCGTTGGCGCCACCGGTGAGGGCCTTGTCAGCATCGAGGATGGCGTCACGAGCCGAGATGAAGGTTGGGTTGCAGGGTTGCCTGAAGGGTTGGGAAGAGGTTTTGTGTTAGTACGAGCTTTTGGGTTACCACAGAGGAGGGGTAGAAGAACAATAAAAAGAAACAAAGAAAAACGAAAAGAAAAAAAAACACGTAAAACGGTGTGAATGAGCAAAGGGGGGAACCTACAGAGCCATGCCGTCGATGACGAGCTTCATCGCCAGATACTTTCCGTCAGTGGGGACGCCATTGCTGTCAAAGATGGGCTGGGGTCCATCGTTCTTGCCGTGCTTGTCGATGAGGTTCCAGAGGACCTCGTAGAGCATGGTAGTCCAGGTCTCGCCGATGTCGTGCACCTCGTTCTTGGAGTTGAGCGTGGCGTAGGTGTTTGGGTTGGTGGTCAGGCTCGTGGAGAAGAGCACGGAGCGCAGGCCCTTGGGGTTGTTGTAGACCCAGGCGCCCATGGGGTAGTTGGTGTTGCGGGTGTCGGTGGGCTTGAGGCGGATGGCCGTCGCCATGAAGTCGCCCCAGCCCTCGCCCATGCCGCCGGACTCGAGCAGGTTCAGGCAGTTGGAGTTGGCAGGACCGCCGGTCAGGCGCGTCGAGAGGCCGTGGGTGTACTCGTGGATGATGACACCCGCCTCAAAGGCGGCGTCGCGGTACGGCGTGGACTTGGTCCAGATGTACATCCTCATGCGGCCGGGTGAGCCGTCAGGAGGGGTTGCGAAGTTGGCGTTGTTGGTGCCGGATCCGTCCTGGGCATTGAGGATGGCAAAGTCGTTGCCCTTGCCGCCCTTGGCGCCGTTGGTGATCTGGAAGTTGCCGGCTGCCTCGTCAAAACCGAGGATGTACAGCAGGTCGTGGTAGGTGTCACCGGTATAGAACAACTGGGTGATGGACGCATCACGGTACGACGAGGGCGGCGTCATCTTGGCAGTCCACTCGTACTCGAAGTTGAGTGCTGCTGACTGGGGACGGTAGTTGTTCAGGTACTGGTTGCCGCCAGTAGGGTTGGTCTGAGCGATGGCATTGTTGCCGCGAGTAGTCTTGTACGTCGTGGAGCCATCCGAGACCCAGGTGTAAGGAGACTCAGTGGTGTTCCAGGGGTTTGTCAGAACTTGACGGCTACCCTCATCGGGGTCGTTGACTGCCCAGGGGCTGAATGATGTTGAGTTAGCCTTGGCAGCAATATTAGAATCGGTTATCCTGCATCACTTACAAGACTTCAAAGGTAGCCTCGGCGACGTAGTCAACAACGCCATGGACGGCCCCATTCGTCTCAGCATCTACGTAGGTAAGGAGCCAGTTATCAAGAATATCTGTCTCGACTCTCCAAGTCAAGGCGAGGCCACCATCCTGCTTCACGTAGTACATGAGCCTCGCCTCGGGATCGGATTGGGCACCAGAGGTTCCCCTCAGCTTGTAAGCCTCCTTTCCTTCGACAGCCTCAGCGGTGGCCGTGCCAGTGACTGGCAGAGACAAGATGCCGGTAGCCCCGGTCAACGCGACGGTAGGGTCGACAAAGCTGCGCTTGGTGAGGGGGCTCACGGCTGGCACCGCTCCAGTGAAGAAGTTGTGGCCAAAGGAGAAAACTGAGCCGTCCTTGCCAATCTAGCGTGGGTTACGTGTTTCCAATTAGCTTCTCGATCATGAAGTAGTTGCCTCGTTCATTTTTGTTTTGGTTTACTCACGTTTACGTTGAAATCAGCATTGTCAACATCCAGACCATGGATGGTCTGCTTGAAATACGCGTGGGTAATGCCATTGTTACTTGTGTAGCTTTGGACAAAGCGGAACTCGGCCTCGGGATAAGTGCTCTTGACCAGCTCAGTGGCGGTATCAACCGGGTCGGAAACCGTCAGGGCTGTGAACGCAGCATTGGCCGTGGTGTCGACAACGTTGCTGTACGCCGACGTTCCCGTGGTACGGTAAGCATTCAAGTCCACTGAGCGCTTGTTCAAGCCCGACTTATAAGCGGCGGTATGGTCAGTAGGGTGGGCATTGACGCTCAGGGAGGCCCCAACGATGAGGCTGGCCAGCAAGGAGTAGCGCATTTTTATTTTATTTTATTTCAAGAGGGCGGCTCAAAATATCGTAAACGAGGGACAAAATGAGAGACGAATCGGGATGAGAACCCTTGCGGTCAACTTTCTTCTCGAAATTCCATCTTTACGATGACCTTTATACTGGATTGCGTGTTTTTCCATCTTGTGCAACAGCTTCCTCTTCAAGGGGCGATTTCGCGAGATCATCTTGGCCAGGTCTTGGTATACCTTCAACAGAAGCTTGCACTGCCTTGGCACCTTAGCCAGTATACCAATACTTTACGCTCATGTTGCAATTGGACAGACTGGGCAATGGCACAAGTCAAGACATGCTGGCAGCTTCGAAGATGTCTTGGTGACCGACACTTAGGACGACATCTATGAACGGGGAAGGTGGACTGCCACGAGACCCATTTCCAGTCTTGGCCTCTACTTGGCACATAAATTTACGAGATCAACGCGGCAGTCCAGAGTAGAGCATAGAGATTAATCCACAGGGTTTTGCGACTCGGTTGCCGTCAGATTGATCCGCACTTTACTGAAGAGCTTGGTGGAAGGAGAAACAGACATTATTCTGCGAGGGTTCGATTTGCTTGGCGGATCACCAACTCCATTGCACACCCGCATATAACCGTTTCGCCGCCCGCCAGAGAATATACAAAAAGCGAGCCATGTTGTTGGGCTGTATTTTCTTGCCTGTGTATCTTCAGCTGGCAGTCGTGAAGTAAATTGACTCCTTGCAAAGGTAATACAGTTCACGTATGAAGCGAGGCCCGCCTGGCCGCCAGATAATGCGCTCCGCCGCACCTATTCTCGAGACTTCCGTTGATCACTAAGCTAGATCGCCAACGTTAAAATGTCGTACCTGCATTGGCTCGGGGTCTCCCGGTTCATTGGCGGCGAGAGACGGTGGACCTGGCCCTGTGAACCGGAGCCAAGAGACTTCGCGCTGCGACACAATAGAGATTCTAGCAGATCCCACTGCTTACGGACTAGGCGAAGAGCGACCAAGATGACCTTGGCGACATGGCCCTCCCGTCGAGGGGAGGAACAAGCAAATTTATACATCTTGGCGTCGTATTAGCCTGTCGCTTCTGGAAGGCCCGTACCACCCGATCTATACACCCTCGACATTGTAACACGAGGTGATAAGGCTTGGAGCCTCTAGTCTTCTGCACTTTGAAGGCTCCGCATATTGACTTGGCCCGTTCGACTGTACCTGGTTAGGTGGTAAATAGAATGCTGACCAGGGTGGTTTTTAGGGCATTGCCAACGGGACCTGCCATTCTGAGAAGCAGAACTGAAACGCAGCACTACCGCCGCTCGGGTACCACCTCAGCCGGGGCCGGGATAATTGCAAAAAAGGGATCGTAGTCACGCTTCTGATTGAAATCTGTGTTCTAATACGATATCCAAACTCTTATTTGCTGCTATTTACGGGATACCAAATTGGTCGGTCAGTAAGTGTTTTGTGGTTTTGGATATTGCCGGACCTTGACCAAAGGATTCTTAGTATTGCACATAATTTCTACGCTTTTTGGTACCACTCAATCAGTATATGCATGCATGCATACCTAGGTACATATCTCAGGCAACTTCATAAAATAGCACTTATGCCCTCCGAAATAACAGATTTAAAGTCAAAAGATAAAAATAAAACCCCTCTCGACGAAAGGCAAAAAGTAATATCCTGGTTAAGAAACCAGAAAATTGGATAGAATTGCTGCCTAGCGGGTTCGAACCGCTGCGACTTGCGTCAGTGGTGATCGCAGAGCGAGCTTAAAACCACCGCCTTAACCACTCGGCCAAAGCAGCAAATGTATGCATCTGGAACTTTATTCAATACTATGAGAGTGTATCCACCAAGCAGCTTGTAGCCCCCCGGAGGCTTAGCCGAGCCTGTTTCTTTGCGCACTAAGTACCTACCTAGTAGCGGCAAAGGGCGAGGTTTTATTGGTCAGAACGATGTGATAAATGTACCCATAGTGTAAATGTAAAACTGTAAACTGTAAACTGTAAATCTGTAATCGTAAAGACTACCTGTTCGAATCTGTGAGAAATCTATTTCAAAAAACCTACCAGAATTCCTCTAAATAAGAAGAAGTTCATTTTTTTTTAGAGGGTATAAATCCACTCTTATCTCATTTCAACTAATAAAAATGAATTCTGAAAGTTTGCTTGTCAACTGAACAATGATTGTTCTCTGAAACTATGAAAGAAAATCTGACAAGTATTGTTCATTTTAACAAGTATTGTTCACAGCCTCGTTTCCTGATACGGTAGGTAGGTAAGTAACCACCCCCCTCATCAATAAGGCAGTAACAATTGTTCGGTCCCCCAGTCAACTTTCTTTCATGGTCATGATGGAAAAGTGGGAGTCAAGGTGGTATCTTGCTGGTTCTATGATCCGCAATGCAAATTAGCGACGTGACATAGCCAGCACTTAACTGTTGGACAGCGTGCCACTTAATTGTGGACTACCAGCCAAGGCATCATGTCAGATTATCACGTTTTCATTCTGTTATGAACGTTGAATAATGTCCCTTGCCAATTCAACAGACAGTGTTAACTTAGTTCGACGGTTTGGTATATAAAACATAAAAAATAAAATAAACGAGTTGTCGGGCAAATCACAACCGAATCCCGCCACCCTTTGTCCGAAACGCCACAACTGCATTTTTCGTTTTGGAGATTGTCCATGTCGCAATGCCGAACACCCGGATACGCCATAATTCAGGACACTTGAATGATTATCTAAGATGCGAAAAATGTAGTATAAATCTCTCTCTGTAAGCACTGTGATCTAAATAACCATGTTGATGATCCACAGTCGCCTCTAGACGAGTAAGACAGCATAGTGACTTTGCTGTTATGCTTCGAATATGATGCGCGTATGATATTAAGGCTTGGTAGGGAGAGGCGGATATTTTGACAAGTGGTTGTGGGTGTAGTAGTTTCGTCAAAAGAAAAAGGAAATAGGTGATAATCCTTCATAGAAGGACGGGACGATATTCGGTCCATTGATTCCCTCCCAATCGTGAATGCAATAACCCCATGCAATGTTTTATATAGAGTGCTTTGAAGAGCATGTATGGGAGTTGGTTTCCTGCATAGTTTGCAGCCCAAACATAGGGAAAGCGGAATTGTAGTGTGGTAGTGGTAAGGGAACTGTGCATCTCTTCGTCATCTTTATCAATGCCATCCGCTGAACTACGCCGGTCTTCTCATATCCGTCCTCATCAGCCCAGTCATCTCTGCATGGCCTCCATAACAAAAGAAAAATCAACCATCATCGCCCCACAGGGCGGCCTCTAGGGGTAACCCGTTGATGTAGCCAACCGCGCTCAGACGCACAGCGCTGTTCTTCCCGCGAATGTGCCGCCGGTTCTGTGCGTGTCCCATCACAGCAGCTTCGGGGCTATCAGGTCGAGCGATCTCAATTCCCTGGTCGTCATCGTGGTGGTGGTGGTGTTGCGGATCCACCTCGTCGTGGCCCATCACGTCGGAGAAACCATCGAAGTCCTCGTCGAAGTCCTCAAGCCCCTCATACCTGGATTCAGGCAGGTTTTCGAGCTGCGTGCGAAGGTTGCTTGCATTGTGCGGGCTCAATGGAGCTAGAGGGTTGGAATCGGCACGCGGACGCCCGGCGATCGTCCTGCTGTGTCTGGTACTGTACCGGGATCGTACTCTGCTGCTGCGTCGCTCTGGGATGATTTCACCATCGCTATCTTGGTCGTAGTCCATAAACTCGCTCAAGTCCGGGCTGGGTTCAGCAGCATCTATGTCGTCGATGCTATGAATCGGTCTGTCCAGATACATTAAGACACGCTCGCGTCGCCCGGATCCCTGGCTTCTGCCAGACATGTCGCTCATCCTATTATCCCTAGAATCAGGCTTATCATCTGCGCGATATGCCAAGTCCTCGGTGGGACGAGCTTTATTCTCTACCATGCGGACGCTCCCGCTCCTCTCGGTAAGATGCTTGAAGCTGGTCACGAGGGAAGAATTCCTGACCGGCAAGGGGGGCAACTGCGGGCAGTCTAGGTTGGGCAGCTTAGAATCCATTGCTTCCAGCTTGCCCATCAGAATGCTCAGTTTCTTAGACTCGGGACTTCCTCCTATCGTCGAGTTAGACCGATGGCTGGCGAGGCTGGCTCTCTCATTCTCCAGCTCAGCGATGATGTTCTCCCTCATGCGTGCTCTCTTCTTGCGCAGAGCAGCCAGTAGCATCTCCTCCTGCTTTGTGACTGCCATCAGTCTACCATCTTCTTGGACTTGGGTTGTAGGGGGGATGGGAAACTCGGCGTGAATAGCAGAGTCCGGGGGATTCGTGTAATAATCCAAATCTACAGTCGAAGGGGATAGAGGAGGGGTAAGCTGGCTCGAAAGACGGTGGTTCGAGGCATCGACAGAATCACGGAAGCTCTTGGAGTGATGATCTGTATGTGTGCTCCTCGGTGAGTTGCTAAACCCAGCGATGCTGGTGTCATGGGTACCGCGCGTTCGGTGAGAGCTTGTCAGAGAAGCCGCATAGTCAGTAGTCTCTACAGTCGATGCAGAGAGACGCGAACCACGGCTCGACTCCGCGATGGCATTCGAGATGGCAGTGGCTGTGCTGTTGGAGGATGAGGCGGAGCGAACGGTGCTACTTGAGGGTGCCCGGGGGTTGTGTCCCTTTGCGCCCGGACTGGGAACCGCAAGGTAGTCGTTGAGCTGTGCAAAGCTCTGCCGCTTGGACTTGTTGGCATAAGTCTCTTGAGAGATGGGAAACCTCAAAGCGGGATCCACACGAGATTCAGCTGAAATACTTGCATCATCATCATGAGATGTATTACCCCAGGAGGACATGGACGATTTCGGCGCAGAGTCGCTAAATGTGCCATCATCAGACTCTGAGTCCGATAACGACAGCACGCTGTTCTTCTGGAGGTCTGATTCGAAGTTTCGGGAGCTCTTAGACGCCCGCGTGTTGCGGCTGGATATGCTGGAAGCGTAGTCTTTTCTCGGCGATTGATATGAATGTGCTGGTGGAGGGCTTGTGGTTGAGGTAAGTGTGCTCTTGCTGGCGCCGGAGTCCGTTCTACGGTGTCCGATGTTCCTGTGAGGTTCTCGGATCACGGGATTAGACAATGCTGTAGCGTATGGGGTTGCCAGGGGTGCAGCCGTCCTCATAGTGGAGGCGGATGTGAGGGCAGGAGTGGGCTCAGCAGGGGAAGGAGAAAGCAGTGTCTCCTGGTAGACCTCTTCTTCCGGAGACATAGCTTCGCGAATAGACCTCTGCTCGTAGTGGTCGTACAGTTGTCGTAGCTCGCTGTTATCTCTGGGACTCGGTGTATAAGCAGCATCGCTAGCTCCTCCGGAAGACTTGGATTTTCGGTTAACTTTTGAGTGGGATGACAAGCCCAAAGAAGAGGCAATCGAGAGCATGGAGGGTGATCTTGTTACATAGTCATTGTTTAATACTGGGCCCGGCTGTAGATTTGGAGATCTTCGACTCCGGGGCTTGAGGCGTGAGAGATCCAACCTCGCCGGCTTCTTCTTCTTCCCGAAAGGCCCTGCTATGGTTCCATCCACATCTAGCAAGGAATTTGCCTTTCTCGGGAGACCTTTGGCCATGGCAGAATTTGACGTCTGTTGCGATATGGCGAGCGGTACTTTGTTCGGGTCATAGTGTTGAAACATAACGGAGGCGTTCGACTCGCGTCGGCGGACACTGGAAGCGTCTGTCTGATAGTCATTGCCAATAGTGGCAGCAGATCGCTGCATCCTCAAGCCTCTGCCTGGCCATTGGCGAGGGATGACCTCCGACTCGGCATCCCAGCCTCGGGGCGTGCGCTGGCCAGTAACCCTGTCATCATCGTCGTCTTCTTCCTCCAGAGTTCCTAGGCCCCCCTCGTTGGTCGCTGAATAGCTGGCGCTGCTCTCGGATATCGATATACTGATGCCCGACCTCGCATCCCACTGCCTCGAGCTCGCTCCATCGAGGCTAATCTCACCGGTTCCGAGGATCTTCTGTGCCTTGGTGAGGGGTGCAGAGCCTGCTGAGCTGGCCGCTGCGGCTGGCTTTGGCTTTCGTCCCGGCACCGGGAATGTGAATTTTGATCTCTGGCCCATCGTATAACAATCGAGAACCTAAAGAACCCAGGTTCGCTGCTAATATGTCGTGAATCTCGACTCTTGCATAGCTTGTGGAGGAAGCTCGTGAACTACGTGATAGCCTGGACCAATTCACCTGTACCTTCGCATACGGTAGTCGTACTCAGATGTGTTATGCCTGTAAGTCCTGCAAACACCGACTGGTGATGGACGTTCGGAGTGTAATCAGCTCGGATAGTTGGCAGTATCGCTTGCCAGCATCCTCCAACGGTGACTTGACGAGGGCCTTGCTAAGAGTCGACTGCCACCCCAATTGCCTGCCGCGTACCGAATCTACTAACAGCTTGACATGAATAGAGCTTATGGTGCGCCGTGCTGGGAGGAGGGAGGATCGATGTGCCGGCAACTGTTTAAGAGACGAAGGTTGTACCTCGGTGGTTAGGCCCCTATACCTCAAGTCGCGCTGAGGAATGGGTAAAGTTTAGAAAGTAAGGAGAGAAGAAGCACCTTTCCACGTGGGAAGGAGATGAAGAAGTGGAGAGAAGCGACAGAGCATTATCGAAGCTAGTGTGCAAGTGCTGCTACGGAGTACGTAGTACTGTCAAGGGCTCTTTATTACATACGCATATGGGAGGAGGCATTAATGAAGCCCAGCCGCCCCCCCAGAGGCCGTCTGCACGCCGTCGGCATCCACACGACAGCGTCCTAAAATCTTGCAC